ATATGTCGTCATTATAAAAAAAACTACAAGGAAAACATTCTGAAAATCTAACTAAACATTTTGTTTTTTAACTAATCAGATACTTTCAAATAATGAAAAACAAATCTACTTCATGTGAAAGATTTGACTTTTTTATTTTTTATTATCATTATTATTATTTTTAGAATGGATCAGTAACACAGCACACAGGAACAACTAACCGGTTCAGTCCCTGACCCTGTGCCCTGTCTGGAGCCTAAAGCTTGGTTTATGCTTGACGCATCCGCGAGGTCCACACAGCTCCACGCGGCAAAATTGCGTCATTTTAACAACCACGCCCCTCCACCGCACGGCCTAAAATTTCCGCACCGCGCACCTAGGAAATTTTCTAACCACGCGGACGGTCGGACGCGGAAAAACATGGCAGACTGGCAAGAACTAGTATGGCAGAGGTTCGTAAATACAGACATTTGTATGATTCAGCTATCAAAGATCACCGTGATCAACATGTTGTTAATAAATCTTGGAGAGAAATAGCTCGCACTGTCGGAAAAGATGAGGACGCTGTTAAAAATGCTGGAATGCCATGTTGTAAACAACAGTAATTTTTACTTCTACTATGGTGCAGTGTTGGATGCATGCCGTAGAGCTCCATGCTGCCCCCTACAGTTTGGGAGAATATTGGCTCACAGCAGAGACAAGCCACATGAACCATAAACACTGCAAGTTGTGAAGCGCGTTCCATCCGCGAGCCGCATCACCAAGCGGAAAGTAAATGCGTCAAGCATAAACCAAGCTTAAGCAGCAATGCTACTTTTTCCATAGCCATAGTGTTCATCTATTTTGTCACAGCTGAACAAATACCCTCCAAAACTATAAAAGGTTGGAGGTTTATCCCTTTTATCTGCCTCTGGATCAGCTGATGGCTTTGTGCAACACAGAGCGGAAACAGAGAGAGAGCCTCATGTTTTATTACTAAATGGGACAATCAGCTGAAACTGTTGAAGGAAAGCTGTTGAACCTAAATCTCAGGAGCAGTCCAGAAAGTCTGGAGGTCTGAGTTCATCACGGGTTCATAAACAGTGTTTAATGAGCGGTTACCACAAATAGAACTTTACCATCACCCAGAATATTTTACTGAGGAAGTTTGTTCTGAAATCAGGTCTGTAAAACAGACTTCTTTTTAAAACTCGTGTCTTTATCCACCTGCAGCTGCAGTCGCTGAGATCAGAAATCTGTGCTGCAAACTGAGCAGTTAATCTGCATATTTCCAGTAGAACACGTTTGCCAAGAGATTTGTGCAATAATCAGATTTTTATTTTACTTTCACAAAATGCCAATTCTAGATTAGATATTACAGAAAGCAGGGACGACTTGCCATCAAATAAAAGCCGTCCCTCGTTAATTACAAGACAGGCAGGATGGCTCGCTGGCTGCTTCTAGGCGAGCGACTTTCCGTGCGAACGAGCTACGGTTAGCTCATGAGCGACGTGTTGAGACCTGATCTTAAGACTCAGGAACCCCTAGCAGGTGTAGCAGGTGTTCTGGATTCATCAGCTGATTCGAGTGTGACACTGAGTATATTGAACCTTTTCCCAGTATTACAATTTTCTGACATTTTGAATTTGGGATTTTCGTAGACTTTAAGCCATAATCATCACAATTATAACAAATAAATGAACTTTTGTAATTGTGTAAATCATGTTTGGGATTTGTGAAGGTTGCAGCATTAGCATTGGAGAACTCTTTGCTGTAAAACTCATTTTTGTGACCTGTTAAATGCAAAAGCGCCTAAACTTGAGAACCTTTCAGAGTTGAGGACTGAAGCCGGAAAAACTAAATGTGTTTTTAAACATGGCATTGGTGCAGAACATTTCTACTCTCACTAAATTTTCTGTTTCCACGAGTCAGAAGACTGCTTGTGCTAATTTTCTTTACAAAGAAGAAAAATGAAAATAGTAATAACCGCATATGGGATGCAACGATACCACTTTTTTCCAAACCGATACGATACAGATACTTGGATCTGAATATTCGCCGATACCGATTAACACCGATAATTCTAGCACACAAAAAAATGCAACGATTTGGAATACAGATTTTATTTTTTTCTCTGCTTTCAACAGGAAAAGGCTGTGAGGCAGATAAAAAGTAAAATATAAGAATAGAAATCACAAAACTAAAATAATAGGTGAACAGAAATGACAAGTTACAGTGAAGCCGTTTTCAAGCAACTGCATTGGTATCGGTTCCTGGTATCGGTTAACTTTTACAGATACCGATACCAGTATCGTATCGGTGCATCCCTACATATGTTACATGTATTTAAAAGAAAGAAAAAATTAAACTAACAAAAAGTTTTTGTCTTCGTAAAAGACGGTGAAACAAAAGACAAAAAACACTATTTCAAATCTTCCAGTAAGCCACGTGATGAGTTTAGGTGGTCACTGATATAATCCAGGGTATATACAGCAATCCTTAAGTAAAGTTTACTACTTTTTAATACTTTTTTTACTACCTTCAGAATTTTTTTAAAACCATCACAACACTAAATTGCAAGTGTTAATCAGCGACCTATTTACACACATTTTAACATATATAACATACAAAAAGAATAGACTTAGAGACTCACTGATGTTGACAACGTATTGCACATATTTATTTTACTTAGAAAATAAGCCAGGCACTTCTGTTCAGCGGTTCAGACAGTTGACCACGAGGCCTGAAATGATGCACAACGACCACTGAATATGACGTCATCATTATGTGACCGGATATGCTAAAGTAGGGCTGCTCTATTATGGCAAAAACAATAATCACGATTATTGTGACTGAAATTGAGATCTCGATTATTTAAGACGATTTTTCAATTTATGTAGATTTTTTTTTTTTTTCAGTCATAAAACTGCTCAGGGCACAATCAGGGCAAAAATAAACAAGAAACAAGATGATCACTAAAATAACTCCTGATTCCCAGTATAAAAAGACCAATATACTTATAGCTCATAGTTTATGACCCAAGGGCTATAGACCTTGGTTTAACTCATTTAAGTCTAACCAGTACAGACCCAAATACCAATATCTTGCAAATACTGACAGCAAGAATTATACAGTGGCATTTATAACAAATACATGCAAATTGCTGTTCACTAAATGTTGCATAGCATTTATTGAGTCGTGTCAAGGTGCTGTAGGAGCATGCACTAGCACCGTGTCCTCAGAGAGATTATTATTTATCAGCGTGAGGAACTTATTTCTACCTTATTTATAAACTATTTATTTACAAGTCCATCAGTTAATGTAATAATTGTCCCAACCACAGCTGCACCCCCCACCCCCCAACCCGGTCTCACAGCAATCAGGGGCAAGCTGCACGTGTGTTTAGCACGCCGCACGCGCACATTTAGCCGTTTTTAGCGGCTCAGGAGTCCGCAGGTGCGGTGTGTGTGTCACTCACTTTGGTTACTCCAACAGGGAGCCGGCTCCGAGAGCTGTTTCTTTAGCGGCTGACACATCACTACATCATTCCCTTTCCTAATGTCCTGAAGAACGGTACGGAGCGCAGGCGGAGTGTTTAGCTAACCTGCAGGAAATGTCGACGACAGTTATCCAGAAAGTAGCTAAGGGTTACCAGAGATGTTTCTGAGGTGTTCGCTAGGTACTTTTAAGATTTAAAAAGTCAAGAAGGGGGTCTGAGAAGCTGTTAGAAATAGCGTCAAAGTCGCTAAGTTAACTTGGCAACACTGGGAGGAGCGCTTCATTTGCAACTCAAGGCAGCGCAAGTGGGAGGAGCAAATAATCGGCTTGTTTTGTTTTTATAATCGTTCAAAACATTTCATTCGGAATATATTTCTATGTCGATGTTCAGAATACGACATCTGATAGTCTGAAAAAAATAATACCTAATTTGGAAAAAATAATACCTCTGAGACCAAATTTAACACTTTTAATGGCCTTAAATTTGACTATTTTTATTTATCACTTTTTAATACTTTTTAAAACCCCGCGGACACCCTGTAATCATTCCATCAAATATTATGTATTTAATTAAATCAGTGCAAAAACACTCAAACGCAGCAACATTCTCTCTTAAATTAGCTGCTAGAAAAAAGTCATGAAAGTGAAGGATTTCCCACTAATGGTTCTTCAGAGAGCGCTGAGAGGGCATCTTTAAGTATTGATCATTTGCTTCACCCTCAAGCTAATGTATCAAACACACAAAACAAATTACATAAATAGATGTCTTATTAGAGTAAATGTAATTATAGACGAAAGAAAACAATCCATACGAGCCAATCAGAACTCTTACTACTTATGTTTCATGAAAGGGTATTTCCACAGATCACAGATGAATCCTGTCAGTCACTATGAGCTGATTCGTGAGGCAGTATGATTCCAAGATGCTAGGAGGAGAGTGAGGAAGAGGTGAGAAAACTGATGCTTATGGGCCATTCCCATCTGTACCGGGTCGGCCCGGGCCGGGTAGCGTAGGTTGTTTACATATCTGGGTGGCCTGGTATTTTTCCGGGCCAACCAAGGCTCATTCTCAGCCCTCTTCTCGAGGGGGTCTGCTTCAGGCCGACCAGGGCCAACACACCCACTGCTGACAGCAAATTCACACCTTCCATTAGAGCAAGCCTCTGATTGGTGGGTAGAATCAGCCCACATGGGCTTAAGGCAAGGATGTGTGGAATCAACCGGGCCAGGCTGGGGCCGACCGGGGCTACCCGGCCCGGGCCGACCCGGTACAGATGGGAATGGCCCATGAGATTTTTGACAGAGGAAATCATGAAGGGAAAGAGATGAAGTGTTAGCCATGCACTCTGTGTTTACAGGACACCTCACACACTTTACACGCTAAACAATCCATTACTTCTATGGTATTATGACTGTTCATGCATCTGAGTTCATGACATTAGAGTTTGGTATCAAACTAAAGAGTCTTCAGAAAATCGGCTTTCCCTTTTGAATTGGAGAGACAGTGGGTTTTTAATAAGTTTGAAGATGACTGGTTTACTCACTTGTAAGTCAACCCATCTCCTTTAGAGCATAGCTCTTCGGCCGTATGACCATCCGAGACAACACACTGTTGGTCAGATCTGCTGGTTCAAAATGCGTTGACTATTACAGAGCACTGGTGTGTACACTCCACCCACCATCACACACAAGTGAGGTTTGAAAAGATTTAGAAGAAAAAAAAAACCTTTTCACACTTTAAAGACGTTCGGAAAACAAATCAAAACTTTGTGATGCAGTAAAAACTTACTTATATGTCAGGCCATCGCCGATTGAGAAGAGCTGCTGTGCCGAGAGTCCGTCATCAGGGACGTAGCCTGTGCCGCCGCTGATCAAGTAATCCGCCATGCTGCCAAATGATCAGAAAAAGGAACAACTTCAGTTCAGCGAGTTGCAAAATAACTTAATGAAATGCAAACATGTAAAATAAATAAAGATTCAATTATGCACTTTAGGGTTGTCACGGTTACCAGTGTAGCGGTAAACCCCGGTAAAAAAAAAGTTGACAATAATAATAACCGTCTTGTTTTTTAAAAACTATATTATCTCGGTGGATTACCGTGGCTGCGGTGTAGGCGCAGTGACCCTTACCAGCCACCGTATCATCTGCTGAAGTTGCCGGCGGCACATGTGCACTTTGTTGTTTACAACCAAAACTTTCTTGAAGCTAAACCTGAAATAATGGCCAAAGGAGGAGACGGCAGCGCTCAGGACATTTATTATCCCTCAAAGAAGACAAAGTGGGAAGTATGGGCATTTTCTGGAAATTTGAAAGAATGCCAAGGGACAGCTGATAGAAGATGGATATCCTGTTTGCAGCACGTGCAGAAAAAGTGTCTGTGAAAGGCAGCAACTCTTCAAATCTCATGACACATCTGCGTGACCATCACCCACAACTCTACAGTCAATGCAAGGCAAGCTAACGTTAGCGTTTTGGCTAAAATGCGTGATCCGAGGATTTGGGTTGAGGGAGAAAGCAACGAGTCGCTATATAAAGCAGCCGCAGCGCCGCTACCTGCATATAAACCGTGTCACGGACACCGCCATGTTGAAATGACGCTATGCATTACGGGGCTCCCAGGGGCAGATAAGAGTTGGTCTCTCTCTGAGAATAATTATGAATTTAACAATGATTACTGCCTGATGACATTTTCCCACATCTGCAAATCTCACTGGAAGGACACAAACCGAGGACAATATTTTCCTGATGTAGGGTTTATTACGGGTTTATTACTCAAGGGTAAAAAAAAAAGTATCGGATTAGAAGGCTACTTGAGTACTGAGTATCATCTGATCTAATATTTTTAAAATGATGATATCAAACAGACAAAAAATAAGGTAAGGTATGGGCAAATATTGGTATTTTAAAGACTAATGGGGAAATATGTAAACAAATAAACAACATAATTACAACCAGGGTCCAAAATTAAATTTTTTAATCACCGGCCAAGTTGGCCGGTAGATGATGAAAATCTACCGGCCAAGCATATTTTTTACCGGCCAAAATTCTAAATGATTTAGATCTACCTAAAGCATGCTATTCTATATTATGTTGATTCCAAACAGAGTGACAAAATAATTAAAACATCAATTAATAAGGAAAACAACTCTTTTGTCATTTTTACTATTTATTTATTTTTAGAGATGTTTTTATGAACTCTTTCACTGAAATCTAGTCAAGACTCCTTGTTTTCTCTGTCCATGAAGTCTGGCCTGCTTCTGACACCGTCTTTGTGCCAAAGCCTTACAGTCTCATTTGGGTCATAGTCCTTGATCTCTGGAGAACACAGCTGCACCACGAGAATATCTGAAAGTGTGTCAGGGCTAGGGTTGTCACGGTAACCGGTGTAGTGGTAAACCCCGGTAAAAAAGTAGACAATAATAATAACCGTCTTGTTTTTAAAATATATATTATCTCAGTGGATTACCGTGGCTGCGGTGTAGGCGCGGTGACCCTTACCAGCCACCATATCATCAGCTGAAGTTGCCAGCGGCACATGCGCACTTTGTTGTTTATGACCAAAACTTTCTTTAAGCTAAAGCTGAAATAATGGCCAAAGGAGGAGACAGCAGCACTCAGGACATTTATTATCCCTCAAAGAAGACTAAGTCAGAAGTATGGGCATTTATTGGATATTTGAAGAATGCCGAGGGACAGTTGTCTGTGAAAGGCAGCAACGCTACGTGGCCGTCATAATGTAGCAATTGTCTCACGACTCCGCCATCTCCGGTTCGCCACTTTTCACAAAATCTTCTGGTTGCCACTGGTCCTGGTGGTTTTTCTTCCAGTTCGACAAGTTTTCTTTTAGAAGGCTGGCTGACTCCAGTTAAAAACCGCCACATTTCACCGCTAGTTTTAACACGAAGCTAACTGCTAACTTGATAAACTGATTGAATGGGATAGGTGGAAATGACGCTGGATGCAGCGCTCACGTTTCGCGTACATTTGTGTACGTTGCATGCAGGCGGGAGGAGTATCAGAAATCCATGGAAGATGACTGATAAGCATAACTAATTTGGTGCAAACATTTACTTGCCATGTGGCAGGTAGAGCTCAAAAATTTACTCGCCAAATGGAGCAATTTACTCGCATTTGGCGAGTGGCGAGTGTTAATTTCGGACCCTGATTACAACATAACAAATTTCAGGCAAAATTTTGACAAAAACTGAGTACAATATTTTCCTGATATACAGTGTTTATTTTGTTGTCTGAAAATGTAACACGTTTAAAAAACACCGCAATAATACCGAAAACCGTGATAATTTTGGTCACAATAACCGTGAGGTTAAATTTTCACACTGTGACAACCCTAATGCACTCTTTGTTTTTGTTTCTTTGTTTGGTCTCCTAAAATGAAATCTGGATCGGTTAAAGTTGCAGTAGGTACTGTACTTACTGAAAACACACAATGTAACAATTTTCATGGTGGAAAACAAGCAGTACAGCAGCTTAGTGCCAAACTGGTCAAAACTTCCAGAACCCTCCCTGAACCTCCTCTCAGTCAGTCTCTTCTCTGACAGCTCGCATTAGGAAACAAACTGACAGACAGCTCCGACAGCCGAAAGAGGACAGGCTGTGTTCACAGACAACAGGTCCATCACATAAACAAGAAGGAAACCAGACGCTAAACAGAAAATGTAAACTACTTAAAGAGCAAGTCACCCCCAAATCAACTTTTGTGCTGATAAACTATATAAATGGGTGTCTAATCATGCTGTAGACATGTGTAGTCAATAATTTGGCACTTTAATGCATCTTGGTTAAAATTTAAAAATTTCTACCTAAAACAGTCAGTGTTGCGCCCTCTTCAGGTAAACAAAAAAACTCTGCACTGCATTTGAATTTAAATTTGCCATCGCTATTGGTACTTTATGACATCAGCTGAAGCCATATGAGGTCACAATGCCACTGAGAGCCTGTGTATTTGTTAGCGGCTCCGCCTTCTCAGTCTGCCAAGCATTTGTTGCATTTTTTTAAACTGGAAGTGGAGTAAGACTCTGGTAGGGGGTAACTTGCTCTTAAAATGAAATTTACATGTGACAAACAGAACGGAACATTCAGTCTGTTAAACCCCGCTCTAGCTTTGCTTCCTGCTCAGCTGCTTCTAGGTGGGAGGGATGTTCAGAGGGCAGTCTAACGGATTCAATCATTAAGAATAGAACAATCACACTAGGGCTGCAATGATTCGTTGACGTTGTCGACAAATATCGATAATAGAAATAGTCAATGAATTTCATTGTCGACATCACCAGACGTGTTTTTTCCGACCGAGTGAGGCATCTCCCTTCATTACAATCTCTGCCAACAGTCTCACATGCGCAATAGCTTATCTGCTGAGTGCCAACTAACAGAAATGTCGGCGTCCAACACAGCAGCTACGCTTACCAAAACATCAAAATTTTGGGAGCATTCTAGCCTGGATTCGGTGAATAAAAAGATGACCTGCAATATTTGCAAAGCAGTCCTCACGTATCACGGCAGCACCTCGAAGATGCATGAACACTTAAAGAGAAAGCACATCGGACAGTTGAATGAAACAGAGTCTGACTCACCTCGGTAAGATTTAAATAATTCAAAAGCCAATACGTTTTGTTTTGGATGTACATTGAACATTTTTTAAAACGTATTTTCACTTTAAAAAAAGATTTACTGTTAGGGGGGTACACACGGGAGGCGACAAACGACAGCGATCAGCGAAATTCGTCGCTTTTATTACCTGACACACGGGAGGCGACCCGCAGCAGGGGCCAGCTGCAAAGCGTTCTGTTCCATGGCGAAATTGAAACTTCCGTTGCTTTGTTTGGCTGTGTCAGGTTGGAGGGAATTAAGGTTAGCAGTTCAGAGTTTAAAAAGTGGTAGATATGTTTCACAAGGTGCTGCTAGTTATGTGAAATCTTACTTCTGATTTTACTATATAAAACATAATAATAATCAACTTCTCCTTCATGTTTGCTCGGAGATGTACGGAGCATTCTGCCCGCTCATTGGTCAGTGAATGAAACCTCCGTTGATTGGTCCTCGTCCGAGCGACAGTGATGAAAAGTTGAAAATATTTCAATTTTCTGGGATTGCGTCGCTGGGTCGCCTGTGCACGACACACACACGAGCGCAAAATTTCACACACACGTTTTTCACGTTTCGCTTAGCAGGAGGGAGACCCGCGATTATCGCTTTGTTGCGCATATCTCATTGAAAATGAATGGAGAGGCGATGTCGCCTCCCGTGTGAGCCCATTATGCCTGATTGTGCCTGACAAAAGTATTTTAATTTTGTTTAAGCATTTATATCTGTACCGACTGAGCACTGTGCCTAATTGGTGTTAGACAGGGCATTTTTATTGACTTTTAGCATGAATTGGCCTATCAGCAGCAAAGTTCTATAAAATATGCATTTTCTATTTGAAGTACAAACTTTCTTGTGTTTACTATCATTTTTCACATAATTAAAGCAATCTCATGCTAAATTTAAGAAAAATTATCCGATTAGTCAACTAATCGTTTCAATAGTCGGTGACTAGTCGACTATTAAAGTAGTCGTTAGTTGCAGCCCTAATTCACGCTGATTGGTTGAGGTGTTTCTAGAACTGTACATTTCAGAAGTTATTAAAGTTATTCCTTTATTTTTTAATAAAACATTCATTTTATTGGTTGCAATCTGTACGTGAAGAGTGTTTAAAGCAATATGGCAAAAGATTCTCCAGAAAAACATCTACTGTCCCTTTAAACCCTGCAGATCAACACCCAACACAAGGATGTCTACAGGCAGAGTGGCTTGATGTTCTGCTGCAGCACCAGACATCTACTTTTCAGGCAGGCTGCTGGCCTTCTCACAGGAAGACATAACCATGGTAACATCAACACCACCTGCCTGTCTCGGGTCAATGCTTCAGCTGTAAGGTGAAAAATGCTTCAGTGTCCCTTAAATATTTTGTAAGTTAAAACCCTGCTGAATTATCTTTTCCTGCTCCAAAAATTTCTAATTAAAAAGCACTTCATCTCAAAAATAACAAAATTTATTACAATGTTGATCCAGCCGTGATTGCTGCACCAGTAATAATCCTGTTGTTTCCTAAATTAAAACGATTGAATCGAGAAATGGGAAGAAAACACGGCCGACTGACCTACTAACACACAAACGAACCACGGCAGCAAAAAACACAAGCTGAAAGCACAAATGTTGTAGTTGAAAGCATTAAAAGCAAAACAAAAAAACACAATATCCTCACAGACGTCCGTATCTCGACCTGTACATTACTGGCCTGGTGACCTAGATTAGATTATCGGTAACTAGCAAACATTAGCAGCTTGCACTGCACACTCGTAGATAAACATGCTACGTCAAACCCACCTTTGTTGTTTTAGGAAAGGTGAGTCAACGCAGCATCCGTGTTACATTATCCTGCGCAACCTTTAGCATCAATTATACTTAACAAGCGTGAGTACTGCCATACCTTTCTCTGTTTTGTATCATGTTTAGGCTCCATTTAGCCCTCAAAGACGCTGCTGGGCCATGTGTAAAAGTTCAAATTGTATTGAATATATGGATATTCTAGGAGTTAAACCAGTGCCGAATTAAAGATTAAGTCAAATCACTTAATATGAACCGTTTAACTTTCCTAAATTTGAAATGATGAATATCTAGGAGACTTACTGATGGTAGTTTGACTGAGTTTTGAACTACGTTTGGTAATTGAGTGAACTTCTAATAGCGTGTGTCCACGGAAACTATTATAATTTTAACCCGTTAAATATGGAAGCTGCTGCAAACATGGTTATAAAACGCAAGTAAAATAAGAGTTCAACACGAGAAACGATGCATAAATAAATGATTGTTACGCTGCTATAAGGTTAGCTAGCTCAATCCTTCTTAGCCAAGCGGAATGCCGTCTTCTACTAAATGGTTACTCATCACCAGCTAAAATAAGGCTTATAGTCACTTTGACTAATATCCAAATGAGTGATCAATTAACTACTCCGTGTTTAAACCCTGGAACAATGTTTTACACGTTAGACTCAGACTTTTTCAGGTTTGAGAAGTAAAAGTGGTAATGTAACGATGCAAGTTGTAAAAACACACACGAAGATATGCGACACGTACATCTAACGATACCATGAAACTGCCAAATGGTCTCAATAATACATTTAAACATTAATAAAACCAATAACCCCGTGGAGGACCACATGACTGGTTGCAGACATGTGGGGTAGAGGCGTTAGCATTTAGCGTTAGCAGCCTTGTGTTTCAGCTTTACCTTAAGCAAAAGCTCCCGAGACTTTCCCGAGACTTTAAGCAACGGTTTAAAATCGTTTAAAATAGACAACAAAAGGTGATTAAAAACTTTGCAACTTCGTCTTAAGAGCGAAGCCGTTCAGCTTTTCGTAGAAACTCCAGATAACTGATGCCCACGTTGCCAAAAAGAAGCAACTTTCGGGCTAAAACAAAACCGAGAGCGGTAAGAAACCCGGTAATGTCGCATTACCTCGTTGGGCTGAAATAGATGAAAACACCGATGTTAGTGCGCTCCAACGTGTGAAATCGTGCAGTGGGGAGATTCAGAGGTGCTGCTGACTGTCTGTGGTTGCAGACAGTGTTGGTGTTTAGTACAGGCAGCAGCGTCAGATCTCCTCTCCTCCCCCCTCCGGGTCACCAGTTAACCCACTGCATCCTGCTGCTGCCACTACTGGGATGACAGATGAAGGGCTTTCATCCTCTTTCAGATGGATACCACATTTATTCATAAAGCACAAGATAAGAACATTATAGCAAATCAAAAGACTCACACGAGATGTAAAAGGTTTAAAATACAACAGTTCAGTCTACATTCAAGCCAGGGAATAAAAGTGAGTTAAGAGAATAAGAAACAGAGAGTGAGGGGTCCTGGAGAGGCAGACCGTTCCACAGTTCAGACTCTGGCTGCTGCTGCTAAAGCTCTCTCCCTCTTGTTTAGCAATGCACCTGTGGGTTTTTACAGCATCTGACCTGCAGGCCTAAGGTAACATGACTGTAGTTTAACCCTCTGCAGGCAGGTGTTGCAGATTTGCAACGTTAAAACCTACCTACTGGTTACACCACATATGTATTTCATGAGCATTTTTAAACTCAGAAGAACCCCTGAAGGACTTAGTTGTTCGTCCTTTTATCAAAACTTATTTTGACCCTGAGAGGGTTAACCGTTTAGGCCCTAGGCCTTTTTTCTTTGGGCCTTGGCGCTTCCCAATTGGGGGCCTTTGGAGATTCATGTCCCAAGTGTCAGTGGTTGTTTGCATTCCCCGAGCACAACTACAGCTACAATCAAAACAGTTTAGATTGTAAACAAAGCAATTTTTGGTTTTTGATACATTAAGATAAAATAACATTTGAACTTTATTTTAAAAGAGCTGCCCTGTGTGAAAGGATGGAGGTTGCGAGTTCAAATTCCATTTAGGAAATGTAGTCTATTGTTTTATCTATTCCAGGGATCCTCAACTACATTTGTCCATGTTTTTCTTCCCAGCAAACACCACTGAAGGTCAGATGCTCCTCTAAAATAAAGTTCAAATATCATTGTATCTTAATTTATTACAATTTAAAATGGCCTTGTTTCCCATCTGGGCTGTTAGATTGTGGTTTTAGTTGTGTTTGGAGAATGTGGACAGTTGTAGATGTTTGGGACATAAAACTGTAGAGGCCCCCAATTGGGGGTGGGGGGTGGGGGGTGGGGGGGGGGGGGGGGTTAGGGTTAAACAGGTTAAGGAGGTCCAATAGTTCTGATGAGCAGGTTTAGCAACAGTTGGAAAAAGTTTAACTGGAATCCTAAAATAAACTGAGTGCCAGTAAAGAGACGCCAGAATTGGCGTGTTGAGAGCTTTCTGAATCAGCTAAAGGCGTCTAAATACAGATGTACTAATTCTGATTTTGAAGGTTGATACAATTTCTGAATCACCAGAATGAAAGTTTTGGGAGAGAAAAAAAACATTGCAATGGTGAGTTCACAAACTGGGGAACGTGTCAGGGGATTTATTGCTGGTTGGCAATGGTTTAGAGTCCTCCATGCATGGACGTTGGGAGGGGACAACCTGCATGAGGACTGGGGAGTGGGGGTATCTTTACAGTAAATATACAAAAAATATGTAATATGTAAAGGGAACAGGCTTCAACACCAGCAGTTGTTTTCCGCTTGGTCCTAGTGCTCAACCAGTGTCTAATTAATATAGCGTACGATTGTTTTTGGACAATAAAATGCGCAGGGGATAAAAATGTACGTAAAAAAAAGTGGTGTTTAAACTACATCCATACCTCCACGGGACGGTTTTTAAAATTTTAATCTGACTTTCTGATCGTTGCTGCCTGTTCCTGCAGTCTGCTGCTGTCACTCGTGAACAATCCTGCAACATTTGCATCCAACCCGCAGACCCAGTCATTGATTTTTATAAGGTAGGTACATTACGATCAAATGCACATACATGCATGAAGTGTTTCATTTCAGAACAACAAATTTCCATTCTACATGCCAGTATTGTTTCACTCTTCATTTCCGATACAGATATAAACCGATATCGATATATGCTGTGTCCACCGCTCATGAAAAAGAAAAACTAAAACATTTTAGGGTTCTAACATCACATATTTTCTACATGTTTAAACTTTAAACAGGTTCTGTGCAAAATGACAACTACTTCAATTTAAGTTAGGAACAGGAAAAGGGCCATGTCTCCAACAGCAGCTGAGCCACATTCTCCCTAAGCGCGACGCCATGCTCATTAGTTAGTGATTTACTTTTACTTTTGTCTGTATATTGCAGCTATGGTGATAAAATATTTACAGATAAAGATCATCAGATAAGAAAAGCAGCCTTGGGTGAAGATTCTTGTTTTTGTTTTAGTCGGTTGTCACTACACGGGGCAAATTTCTACTTCACAAGTTTTGTCAAATTAACCCAATATATCTCAGAAACATTACCTCAGATCTGTCATATTTTGACATTTTATGAGAGAGAAGTAGCTGGAAAGTTTGATGCATAATATGTGTGTAGTATGTAAAAGTTGGGTCATTAAAAGACTGAAAACCGATATCGGTATGACTTTTTAATGCCAAAATGGCCTGATAGTAATGGTAGACCGGTAATATCGGACATCCCTAATTTTAAGTAATGTGCTCTCGTTTGCCTGAGTCTTCCTGCCAGTTGTGCGCGATCCTCGTCCCATCGCTGGGCTCTACATAAAAATAAAAATAAAACTATCTTTAAGATCATCATTTTGGCCATTTCAGCTATTTTCTTGGTGCAACTCCCACTTTCAGCAAGAATTGTTGATGATTTTACGAGAAAACGTTTGAAACCACTCATGTCTTTTTTTACCCATCTCATTTAGTAGTTTAATTAACTTTCAGAAGGTTTTGCTTCACAAGAGATGTGAAGACAACCCAGTTTGAGTAGCTTTGTTAATTTTCCTTGTCTCCCAGAGGACCAGAAAACCATGTGACTTAACCTTTTCCTGTGACACAATCTCAAACATAAACGCGCCTATTGATCGCTGCGACCAGAGTCAGACCTGTCACGCTCCAGCTAATTTCCTTCTACTTTTCAGTCACATGTAAATAATGTTAAATGGATTAGACGTACAAAAAGGTCAGCATGAATCACACTATTCACATGAAAGCAGATGTCTTTAAACAGTGCATTTTTTTCACCCTTTTTTGGGGGGGTTATATATTTAATTTGGCTAATTTTGTCATTTTACATGATGCAGCAAATCACAAGATTTTAAAATTTCACCAGAAGAATGAAAACAAGCTAATCCAGAACAGATATTTTGAGGAACATGTTAAAATGTGCTCTGAGGAGGGAGTTCTAAAGCTCTGCAGAAAAAAAGATGTTTGCTTCATCCAGCGTGCTGCTGGAGGTAACTCGGGGGATCCATCGCCCACTCCCGGTCTGTGAGATATAAATGTGGGTCATTCCAGATATGGGTCAGTGATTCCTTTATGCTCTCGAGCTATTCCGAGCCCTCGCTCCAGCCTTGTTTATCCATCCTGCAGCATGTCGCTCACTACTGCCTTCATGGTGCATCACAGAGCTGTCCGTGTGCAAGACGCTAAAAATAACACCTGCCAGATTAAGACGGGCGGGTATTTTTGTGTTAGCGTCTGCTAGTGAGCCACATCCATGGCCTTTAAATACACCCCTAAAGTCAGCAGATAGTCAAAGCAAGTCATTTGCAAACTGATCTATTACATATGAGTCTGCGCGGAAACTAACCGCATAATATGAAGCTAATTTACATGTATGACCTTATCGAGGAAGTGCAACACTCACAACATATTTGATTTCACATTATCATTGAGATTAATTCATTTCAATCTGTGAGCGTTTCTTTTTCTGTCACGGGGATTAATAGTTTGTTCATAATGTAAATAAAGTTGATATTTTGTGCTACATACTCACTTTTCTGGGCAAAGACCTGCTTGAATCCTTGTGGCGCTATACCTCTGTGCTGCAGTCTCGTGTCCGTAAACGTGGGAGTTGTGTCGAAAGTAATTCTCCCCCTCCTTTGATGAGATGTTGGATGGATGAGCATCCCCTACAACCCTGCTGTAGTCCACCAGCAGGATCTCCTTCCCTCCATCGCCAAAGTGCTCGTATCCAAATCCTTCCATCCGTCTGCACAAGGTCACAGTCTGACTCCAGCTGGCCGTTTGGCCTTGTTATGCAGCCAGTTACACCAACAGCTTCAGGGCTTTTGGACCGATCCACGAAACAAAGATAACCAACAGCTGAAGGTTTGGGAAGGAAAGAAAACAATCCCAAATTCCCAAAATGATGGGAAAGTCACAATCCAAGTTTACAGAAATAAACTTTTCAGTTTGTTAAGTTTTTTTTTTTTTGGATCCAAGTTCAATCCTGATTTCAAAACTTTGTAAAAAAAATGAAGAAGAGAATAAACAAAATACAACAACCTGTGTAGGACTGCTGCTTCTGCCTGTGCACGGGATGCACCTGCCTAACGCAAAACACCAGCCATCTCGAAGCATGTCAACAGAGGGCGTCGCCTAGGAGATTCTCCCACGGAGAGGGTGTCTCCGTGGTAATGATGATTGCAGCGGAGCATTGTGGGGAAGAGCCGGTTGTGCTGATGCTTCTGCAATCTTAGAACTTTTCCATTTCATTTTACTTCTTACTTACATGTAGGATCAAGCTCTCATTGCCCCGAGCAGAAGTAGAAAAGAGTGAGTGGTACAGCTCCAAGTGCTCCATGCTCCCTTTATGTCTTTCGCTTTCTCTATGTAAGGGGTTAATCCAGCTTTCAGTCGTTTTCACAAAGAGGATTTCAGTATTAGAATAGAGCCAAGAGTACAAGCTCTGCTAAGAGAGGAGTAGACTCCTTTTCCTGCAACAACACTGTCACCACAGTGGGTGGTGTTAGGCAAAACAGGCCATGCAGGAAATAAAGCATTCCTCCTTAAACAAACGTTCAAAGTCACAGTCTGAGATCAGATTTAAAGATTGATTTAAAGCATTTTTCACAAGCTCTCGTTGTCAAAAGTAACATCCAGCATAGCACCAGAGTTTAACTGGTTCCATTTACGCAGGAATGACTGAAATTCAAGGAGGGAAATTTGTTAATTCTTCTTACAAATGTTCTGAAAGTTAAAAAGGTTC